ATTTTGTTAGAGAAACGCGAGAATAAGCTGAGCACAACATCTGAGGAGATTTTTGAGTTGTATCTACTGAGATTATTTTTTTTAGAATTTGCAAAACTGAAACTTTTCCCACGCAAGTGTGTTTTTTTTTCTTTTGTAAAGATTACTCTCAAATTTCCTTGATCTTGACAGAAAAAAAGTAAACAAGTATAGTTTCCTTCTTTAGTTTGAATCAGCCATTCGAGAATGAGTTCCCTAACGGTGCGCTTGGAAAACCGGCGATGCTTAGCAACTTGCTTGCAAAACAAAAGTGCACAAGTTTGCAAGATATATGCGCTATATAACTTAAGATGTCATTAGATCGCATTTCCGCCAAATTTTTTTTAAGCACACGCAATCTTTTCAGGAAAAAAATATGTACAAACAAAATAATAATAATAATAAAAAAAGTCCTGCGAACAGTCTCAAACGTTGATATGAATATTCCCAAATCTAGATTTATTATACATAAAATTAATCAATCCGAGAACCGAGATCCGAGAACCGAGAACCGAGAACCGAGACCCGAGATCCGAGAACCGAGATTCTAGTTTATTTTCGTAAACGTGATTTATTTGAAGTATCAAATTTATTCCCATGATTTTTTTCTCTTTCATTTTGCAACCGTAAAATTTTTTTAAAAACTGTAATTTTTTTTTCTCTCATATTTTTCTTCGTAATTAGCATCCGTGAAATTCCGAGACCCGAGATCCGAGAACCGAGAACCGAGAACCGAGACCCGAGATCCGAGAACCGAGATTCTAGTTTATTTTCGTAAACGTGATTTATTTGAAGTATCAAATTTATTCCCATGATTTTTTTCTCTTTCATTTTGCAACCGTAAAATTTTTTTAAAAACGGAATTTTTTTTTCTCTCATATTTTTCTTCGTAATTAGCATCCGTGAAATTCCGAGACCCGAGATCCGAGAACCGAGAACCGAGACCCGAGATCCGAGAGTCGAGCTTTTCGAAAAGTATTCATTTCCTTTAATTTTAAATTCTCTATCAGACTATGGACTCGTTCGCATTAGCTAGCTCAAAATTAAAATCTGCAGTAAACTTAGGCCCTACATAAACACTTTTGTTTTTGCTAGGCGCTCTCAAAAATCAAGTCGCTGTTACATCTAGCGCAGAATGCTGACCTCCAAGATTCAAATAATTCCTAAAAGTCGCATCCTAATATCGAAGATCTATTCCGCGTTTTGTCATAACAGCAAACCCTTTGAATAATCTTCTCATTAAAGATGCAGCGTTAAACTGGAAAGAGGATCATTCAAAAGCATTCTTAACACTAAAACAAGCCTTAGTGGAAGCACGCATGCCTCCTACAAGTCAACCCGGGGACCAGTAGTGAACATCCACTAGCGTGCAGCCGTCCATTAACAAAACACGAGAAGGACTATGTGACTACAGAGCTAGAAGCCCTGGTCATAGTGTCGCCTTGAATCGTTTCTATCCCTGTGTATTCAATAGTCCCATAACCTTGACAACTGACCATACTTTGCTGAAATCCTGATGCATAGGTCAGATCTCGTGGGTCGTCTCGCCCAATATCACACCTTACAGGCGTACGATGTCAAGATTGAGTATCATGCTGGAAAGCACAATACTCTATGCGATTTCCTTAGTCGCTATCTTATTGCGGAAATAGAATCCGTACAGGTGCACACACTACCATCTTTGGATCATACCCAGCAACCTCAAAACGATTCCATTTATGGAAGTCCCATCAAGTTACAAAGTAGAGTTGGATTTCCTTCCCACCACCATAGTTTTCCGACACTTTGGGCAGGTACTCTTTCTATAATGAGTGTTTCTACTAACTTTCAAAAATACGTCTCGACTGATTATTCCTGATAAGGCGCCTGTCAAGATAAAATCATTGAGATTTTCAACACAACCCAATTTTGAATCGCTTTAGACCTACGAAAACCGTAAAAGCTATATCTGCTGAATACTTTCGGAAAAGTTTGGAAACCCACAGATTCAGCTCGAAATTGCCCAATGTGCCAGAAAATAAAAACTATTTGGTTCCAATTTCCCACCGCCTTTTGAACTAATACACACGATATTGTTGGTCCTTTACCACAGTGTAAAAACAGTGATCTCATCACCACGCCTTTGCGTCCAGCAAACTCATAATTTGCACCGCAATCCCAACCAGACAACAGAGCTTGTTGTCAAAGCTAGGATAAACGATGTCATGGCTAAACACGGCATTTCTAACGAACTAGTTTCGATTGTGGTTCTAATTACACTGATGAAATTTTTGCGAAAATGAACCGAGTACTTGGCATTTCCAACATGTTCACCACAAAGTTACAACCACAAAGCAAACGGGCAAGTCGAAAGGATTCCTAAAGTGATTACAGGATCTCTAACGGCTTGCTGTCCAAAAGCCAAAGAGCTATGGTCTGATTTTCTGCAGCCGATCTTCTTCGCCCACAACACTAGTATCTAACCGATATCACAGGAAATAGCCCGTACTTCGTTGTGTATGGTCTTCACCCGATCACCTGGTGCGACATAGTGCATCAGTTACCATCGAGGATCTCCTACGCAGCCGATAGTTTCACTGATCAACTGACCACTGCACTACAAACACAATCATGGAAGATGGTGACCAGATCGCTAGCAAGACAGCTACCACAAATCAGGTTACGATTTCCATCACAAAATGTTTTCTAAGGAGATTTCCACTGGGAATTTGGTTTTACTAAGAGAAGATACAGTCCAAAATTTACACACCAGTGGAAAGACTCTTTTATTGTTGTGCAAGTCAGTCATCCCAATGTCACTATCTCTAATTTGAATGGACCTACTAACACTCAATGTGTCCATATGAATAGACTCAAGATCTATTCAACTGTTCGACATTGGTTAAAGTTTTCCCCCAAAAACTCGTTCTCACACTTGTCACATTGGAAAGTTTAGAAAATGTTGAACCACAACCTGTACGACTCTAATCGTCTACAGTTGATACAACCTTTCAGAAAATCAAAATCACACTCCGATCTCGATGGAGAAAATAAATAACTATTCGCAAATTCCCATTACACAATTTTTCTTGCTACTGAATAGTTATTCAATTTCTAAGGTTAGTTTGCTTTTCTATTTTCCCTGCCGCACTGTCGCGTTTCTATACATTTGCAATTTTCTTTGAGCAGGCAATTCAAAGAAATCGTTTGCATTAGGCAGCTTAAAATCAAAACATTTACATAACAAACAAATTTGCCCTTATGTTGAATGAAAAAGTGTGCAGTGCCCAATTCAACATATGAACTCGTTATGCAACTGTTATTATATGCAGTTATTCACAGAAAATGTTACTATGAACAATTTTGTAACGTTGTAAAATTATTGCCATCATGTTTTATGATTGCTTACGAATTATTGTCAAAATTTTCTACCTATACTATGAATATATCAGTGATTTATCACTACTATCATCTCAATATAATTTGTTGTTAATCAGTTTTACACCTTCTCCCTTGTAATTTCATTATTTTATATTACAATTTTCTCATGCTGTAAAATCCATTTCCCAAATGTCAAATCATTTGCCTCCTTAATCACCTCGATTTCTACTATGCCCCAACATCAATCGGTCCAATCTCCATTTCCTACACCTCCATTCCATTCCCTTCCCATCATCATGTCGGGAACACCCATTCAAGTAAAATGCACCTCTCCGCAGTCTCCTACACCTCCCTCAGCTACCTTCAAGCTCGAGGACGATCTTACTCAAAGTCATAGGATATTCTAGGTGAAGGTCGTGGTTGCTCGCAGTCCACCGGATCCGTATCCTCAATTTATTATGTATCTTCAATACACGCGTTACTTCAATCTGTACGTTCTCGCCGCGTATCACGTGTAAATTCCAACACACGTTACTCGGAAGAGCATCCGCCATATCTCAATATATCACTACTTCAATTGTATGTTCTCGCCGTAAATTATGTGCAAAGTCCAACGCATGTTACCCGAAAGAACGTCAACTACGTCAATTGCAACTACAACAGTGACACCCCAGCCATGCCATAAGCTCGAGGACGAGCTTCCTGAAGGAATGGAGATGTCGGGACACAGCTAGCTACAACAGCTGCTCGAGAAAGAGGTTGGCCGAAGACAGCCAACCTCTAACAGTGACCTCCGGCCGCCAGCACTAGCCGGTGGCCTTCCCCTTCCCCCCTTTTGTACATAACTATTTATAGTAAATATTATAGTAAGACTTATGTAAACCCGCTACACATCAGGTAAGGGAATAGCTAACCCTTATACCTGACAAATCAAACAAAAAATGTCACTATTGAAAATGTACACATTATTCACCTAATCAATCGATATCTGAGCGACATCCATTAGATAACTTCATACCCTTGGGCATGGATGTACCAACTGGGTGCAGGTGCTCTTGACTACGATCCAGCAGAAAAATCGCAGACGACGAAATAATGCATGAGCTATCCGAAATATACAGTCCGAGGAAATATGGAGATTGTGCATATTGGAATCGAAAAAATTCTTTGGAGCTTTTTGAAATCATCATTATGGCTTAGTAGACGCAGAGCACGAAAATCAAAGACTCATAATGGGCGCATGAGAGCTTGGAGCGGTTTCCGTACTGGCACGTGGGCATCAGCTTTATCAAATGGGCACTACTGTGATTTGAAATATTCGTGTCAATTAAAAAACTCGTGAACCCTTTGTTCCAAGCTCCGAAGAAGGCTGGATAGCCGAAATGTCTCTGTCAGCAATAAAGCTGCGCTTAGCTACCGAAGGATTTATTCGATACAATGCCGAAATTAAAATACAACCGTATTAAGTCATTTGTTGCGTCCTCTCAATGTTCACATCTCTGCGGACTCTGCCTCAGTGTTGCAAGTAACCTTTGAGTTAACTGGTTTGGCGGCTGGAAGGCGGGGCTTTGTGACCTAATTAAGGTTGCTCGCGCCCGCGATGCAGTCTGCGTCTCTCTCGCGCGTGCTCTCTCTGAACATTACGTAGCTTTAAAGCCAGTTGAATCAAAGGGTACACATGGAAAAACTGAGGATTCATATTAAAAGATTAATACCATATAAGCCTGAATGGAAAAAGGTATCTGCATCAATATGACTACTGTATGAACTTGAACGATGGCCTTGCAAACTGGCTGATTCATAATATGAACCGCCATGTTCCGAACGGAATTCATAAAACTGGCTTATGTCTGGACTGGATGCTTCGAGCTTCTTCAATGGTCGACTTGTGACCTCAACATCGCATTCACGGCCGTTATCACGATAGAGGCGATATCGTCGTCCATGGTCTGTATCATTCAACATGGTCTGTGCGACTAGCGCACGGCCAAGATCTGTTATTGATGGAAGCGTGAGCTAAAAACATTCTATTCAATCTTAATTATAAAGTAAGTTTAGAGTAACTATAGAAGTATGCGGCATCTGCAGAGTGTCTCTTGGGTCTCACCACTGTTTGGTGAGGATACACTTCTAATCCTCTTTTTTTTCTAATGTAGGAATAATTCCCTGGCTTCAATAAAGACTCGTAAGCTTTGATTCACGAGGTTGGCGGCCGGAAGGCGGGGCTTTGTGACCTCATTAGGGCCGCTGACGACCGCGACGCAGGCGTCTCTCTAGCGCGCGTGCTTTCTGAATTATCTAGCCTTGATTAGGTCACGAAGCCCCGCCTTCCAGCTACCAAGCCACTTGAATCGAAGGGTGGTATGCAGCGCATCACTGGTTGCTCTTCGTTATTATAGGCTTAAGTAGTTTGATAGGGACCGTAGTGAGAATTTTTATCTGGTGAAAATTTCAAAGCAGCTGACCATAAAGGCAGTGTCCGGGCAAAATGGGGGTTTTGGGATTTCAGTGCCATGCGAAAGTGGCCCCCCTCAACACAACATCGCGCAAGTACAACGTCATAACGCTCGACCTAAAGCAAGAAAAACAATTGGAACTTGAGCCTTGGGGCGGGGTTCCCCGACCTGTTCGAATTCCTGCTACGGGGCAGAGTACGCACGCCGCCACAGTTAAAATGTAGGGTCCCGCAATGACTCTGCGTCTCTCCCTTGGTGGGGCCGTCGGATTTCAAATTGTGCGGCTTTGGAAAACGTGTTCTCGCCGTTTTCGCGCCTTCCAATGCGGATTTTCGGATTTTTTTTCAGCGTTGCGGATAACCCCCGGTAAGTGGAATTTCTAGAAATCGAACTTCTGCCTGGACACTGCCTTTAATAAATGACTTGCACAAGTATGTAAAGCTTTGCAGAATATGATCAGGCTTCCGACAAATTTGGTTTTTCTTATTTTATACAGTTGCTCAACAGAGGTCTTCAGTAATGTGCAATGCTGATATTCGAAATCAGCAGCCTTTATTAGGTCACAAAAAAATCCAGATTTAGAGTTATTTGAGGAAAGCATTGATTCTTACAAGGAAAGGATATTTGGTAGAAGTGGCTTTTTCATAAAAGATCTAATCTATCTCATAGAGCATGGAACGCTAATTCCGAACCTGCTTTCGTTGTCTGCAAAGCGCTTCTGGTAGGGGGAGATATGCAAATTTTTTGATCCATAAATTTGAAAGCGCCACTACAATGAAATCATTCAGAACTTTAGTCTATGAGCTCAAATGGGGCCACAATTACTCAGGGCACTTTAAGCAATAACTGTTTTAATCTAATGAACTCGTGTCAGTCATTACTTATTTCAGGAGCCAAAAAGAACACAGTACCTGTTTTATTCTTGGCCAAATCATTAGATTTTTGACTCAAAAATATCCAATACTCCCCTCTCAGAAGAGCTTTGCAAATAGAGAAAGCAGATTTGGAATGGCATTCTATGCTCTATAAGGTAATATATATGTCATAAGGAAACGCCACATCGACCGCGTATCCTTCCCTTGTTGGTGTTACAAAGCCCCTTTTCTATGTTCCTACAGGAAGAGTGCGGCAATCGATAAATTGTCTTTGCTGCACGCTGTGAATCTATTTACAGAATGGTGAGGTCGAAAAAGAAATCAAGGAAGAGAGATATAAATGAACAAACAATGGGACATTTTGTCAGGAGACCCTATAGCCCTGGCCATACGTACAGCGATTTCATCGTCGCGATTTCATCGCCGAAGAATTTTGTGATTGTAGCGACGAAATCGCGACTATCAAATCGCTCATCGCGGGTTCTGGACATACCTACCTGTTCCGCGATAAGGTGAAAATATACACCTCAGCACTCGTTCTACGTTTTCTTTTGCCATCCAAAAGCAGTATTTAGCGTGATTTCTTTACATCTGCAGATTTTTTTGTCTTTTTTCGACACCAGTATGTCCAGCATCAACATTTCATATTAGTTCGCGCATTTACATCTTCATTCAACTTTTCGTGTTAGATACAGGATGCAAAAGCAATTTTCTCAAGTTGTAGCTGCGGTTTTGCTGATTTTTCGCGAAATTTAGATACCTAAATACTACGCATGTTATTCAATTACGAGTTTCGAACAATCAAAAATATTCATTTTGACTGATGGCACGAATTAGAAAAGACGCGCATCACAACACGACAGAAGTGCAATTGCGAAGTGCAGAAGGAAATCTGCATCACATTTCAACATCACCGCAGAAAAAGCAAGTCGAAAAGGAAAAGAACTATTTCAAAAACTTTCAGGGAAGAAATCCAATTCCAGCGATATCGCCCCGTCGCAGGTTTCAAACTTGCGACGCGATATCGCAAGATTTCGGTCAAATCGCGGCGATATCGCTGGAATAGGTATGGCTTAGGAAAACACGGTCAGCGATCCTTCGCGCCGGACAGCTAGCACGACCGATATGCATAATTTGGCGGCATGAAACAGGGGGTATTGCAGTTGTCCGATTGCACAAATCGCATCGCGGTGATTTTTTTGACGGTATGGCCAGGGCTTATATACTGCTCAAAGGGTTGTTTCATACTGCCGCACTGACCGCAGCAGACTGCAGCTGACCACACTGACCGCAGCGGACTGCAGCAGACTGCAGCTGACTGCGGCAGACTGCGGCTGACTGCAGCGGTTGCGGCATGTTCACATAAGAAGAAAAAGCGATTACGACCGTGACAACTTGGTTGAGCCTAGGAAAACCAAAAGTGCCGGTTTCTCCCTTTTCAGTCAAATTTTTCTTCTTTCAAGCGAACTACGGACGCCGCGGCCGCAGCGGTCAATGCGGTCAGCTGCAGTCAGCTGCAGTCTGCCGCGTCAGTGCGGCAGTAAGAAACAACCCAAAGCGACGCAACAGAGTCGTTGCACGATTGGCCATACTTGAGCTGTAGTGTGTGTTCCGGCCAGTTCCATTGGTACTCCTACAACGCACACGCAACGCGAGCCTGAGGCTCCGCCAAGTCCCTTTTTGAAATCTGAACCTCCATGCATATTGTTTGCCGCCAATTCCCGGTCTCTTAAGTAGAGCTTAACCCCGCTCATTCGTTTTCTCACCTTTTCTACATCCGAGTTAAGAATGATTTACATAGAGTTAAGTTCGGCATGTACCAGCATGTTAGTCCACCATGCTCAAGAACGAGCCGATCTAATGCGCGGATCCTATAAAATTGCTCGTTAAACGGATCCACGGGGCTTTTGGCCCCAAAAGCGGATCGTAATTAATGACCGTAATTGTGCCGACATCGTCGGCACCTTCCTCACAACCTATCATTACCTCTGCTAAGCACCGTAAAGGTCATGCCATAAGCATGACCTGCTGCGATATGAGTGTATCATTGCCCAGATGTTTGTGATACTACTTTACCACGGCTTCAATCCTCAGCATTTTACCACTGCACGAATGGGTGTACGTCGACTGGTCAATAAAGCTCTAATAGCTTACGTGTTCTAATAACACACCAGGAGCCACAATACTCCACTATAGGCGCCACCCATCCGCCTAAGGCTACAATAAAGCCTTCCAACCACTACATTTATGGTGCATCGGCCAAATACGTAAGACCGATAAGTGCTTCGCTCCTGCACGAGGATTAACTATTTTAACCTTGGGACCTAGCGCCCAATCGGTGCCTCGCACTCAGCGACAGCCATTCTCCTCCGCATCAGGGACTAAATTTCCCCAATTTTTGTTCAAAATTAACGAACGGCTCAAAAAGCAGCCATATCTTCCTAACAATCTTTGAACATCAAAAATGTCTCTAAAATTTTTCAAAGAGGCAATCTCATTTCACCCAAGAGTATTAGCACTGCTCAAAAAATTCGACTCCTACTACTTTAGGCTTAAGTTCACTTTAGAAATTGATAGAGAGCTTCAAAAGAGATGTTTCGAAAACTTAGATATTCTTCTTTCTTGCCCATCACAAGTGAAAGCAAGAACGACAATTTTGGACTCAATAGTTGATCAAATGGGAGAATTCTATCTCAAGCAGTCTAAAAGCGAGGGAAAAAATATCATACTCCGGCTAGAAGAGCTCAAAGGAGCTTGATTTTTACCAGTTGCTTTCAGATGCTAGTATTTTTGCTATCGCTGTAGAATATCAGATAGTTGCAAAAACAGACAAGGATTTTGCGTCAACTCAAGTAGTTGAAAAACAGCAATGCAGTCTTTGCAATCAATTTTTACGTGATGCGGAAAGGGAAACGGATGCTCTGGCAATCATGATGGACTCCGCGACGATGGAAGAAGACGATGAAAGTGAAGAGCGCTTCTGTCAACAGTCCGAGGACTGCACATTCATGACCCGGGGTGATGCCTTAGCAGTAACAGATGATATACCGACTTCGCAGGTCACAATGCCTGGAGGCGGTGAACGACGAAGCAATGACGAGATCGACAGGCACCTGCTCGGAAACCCGTGACGATGCAAGGAGAGTAAGAAGGATTATCAACATTATTCCGTTCACTTTCCATTTTTGCCGTTGATGAGTTTGGATATACTAAGACATCATAATTATCCACTATACTCCCTTACATACCTATCGGGTTTCTGCTCTTGCGAATTTGCGCTCCAAATCTGGTAATGAATCTGAACAGTTGCATTACCTCTATGAAATGCTTCAAATAATCAGCTTGCTCGATGATTATGCTCCAATATACTTCAAAGCTGTCGCAGGATCCAATAAAATGAGATTGCAGTTGCTGAAAGAATGCAAACAATTAAGAGTGATTTCTTTAAAATAGAGTTCCAATAAAATCTATGAATTAAGAACGATTGCATTCTGATTCCAGATCTGTTTTCTGCTGCTGTGCGCCTCTGACGTCGAGTAGTGAGTACTATTTGGAGCACGAGATAAACGCAAATCTAGATAAAGTCAACCGATACGGGCAAGATCTAGTTAAATTGAACCAATACGATCTCTCTAGTTCCAGATATTAGCTTGGGCCATGAATCTTGCATTAAATAAAGTCAAAATCGCAATATGTCTATCCTACTTCCTGAATGTGCTATGGGGTATGGAGCATCGTTTGATAGAGCAAAGCAAGCTCCACAATAGTTTTTGAGGGTTTGCATTGAGTTCAATACACCATAAGCTTGAAGCCAAAAATTAAAAAGACCTAAATGCTCGTAAAGTGGAGAAGAAGCGGAAAAGTCGTTAAAATGATCTACGGCCAGGGACCGGCACGAGGTGGGCAAATGACAAGCTGGAAATCGTTTTGGTGGAAAAAGCAAGGGGGAAGTCGTTTTTGCGGGGTCCGCGGCGGAGCCTCGGAAGGAGATTCCAAGTGCAAAAGAAGCTCGAGTCATGCTTATTACCTTATACATCTAAATTCATTGAGCAGCAGTTTTCATAAGCCTTAACACACAGCAGAGTTCGCGCGCTATGCCGCTCCGCCGCTGGCCGCGTGCGCGACGTCGCATAAGCGATGCCGTTGAACAGTATGATTACATGATCAGTTCAGGTGTAACGATATAGCACCAAATTACGTAAGTGAACGAAGAGAGGCTAGCAGAAACAAAGTATGAAATATTATGAAAAACTTATGTTATTGGGAGAAGTGATAAGCATTTTTTCCAAAAATTGCAAAACTGGTAAATGAAGATGTGAATTGATATGGCTCGTTTGCAGCGCACAAATGACTTTACTTATGAAACTTGGTAGATACATGAACACGAGCATGCAGGGCTTAACTTCGAAGTTTCATTGGAAAATTATGTGACCGGAGGTTCTGGCAGCTTTTTTCTAAAAATTTCCCACTATCAAAGAATGGAAAAATGGCTCGTTCGCAGCGCAGAGAAAACGAAATCGCGCGAGACTTGGTGTGTATACGCGCAGTAGAGCTAAAGAACGTAGTATGAAAAATTATGAAAAACTTAGGTGAATGAAGGGCGTGCCCGACTTTTTTCCAAATTAGGTGGGCAATTGCCCACCTAATGCCCATGAGGTAGGCAAAACTTTCAATTCACATAAGTTTTTCAAAAATTTTACATAAATCTGTTGTACACCTAAAGATTACTACATGGTGAGATTTTGGTTCCGAAAGTCTTGTTCTTGTCTTTGTGAGTACCTAAAATCGCATCACCAGCTTAGCTTTCTAAGAAGGAAAGCGCGTCCCAGTCAATTGATACGCGCGGGAACGGCGTCTCTCAGTCGTGTGTTGCGTCACTTTGATATTTCTTTATTCCTTCATCATTTTTCTTGCTTATTTTTCTTCTTGTTTTCTATCCTGATACAGTTGAGGAGTAATTAGAGGAATTTGAGCATTTTGAGCGCTTTTGAGAGCTTTTAGGCGAAATGTGGCCGGTGCTCTCGTTGTACAAGCACAAGGTATCGTTTTTGGCCTCAAGCGGGTATTCGTAAAAAATATTGGGATCAAAGGGGAATTCGTTTTGTAAAACCCCGTTTGCCCGCCTCGTGCCGGGCCCTGTCTACGGTCCTTTATGTTCACATGTGCGCATTCCACAAAAGTTACTCAGATATACAATGTGTAATATCTTAGCTATAAATCGAGAAATCGAAAATTCCCAATTTTTCCTTGTCAAGCAATGTTGAGTTGTTCTCCAATATTATTTGTAAATGATTGTATTAGGTTGTAACAGAATTAATGCAGGTTTTTCGCGCACCTTTTTCAAAATGCCGGTTTAGAAAGGGTAAGTGCTTTCTCGGAGAGTTTTGCATATCATTTGGGAGCTCTTTACTTCTAACTTCTTATGCACTCTTTCGTTTCACTGCAAGTGAGTTTGTCTAGAAGTTCTGAGCCCATGAATTTGAAAAACCAAATCCCGAAATTTTTTTTCAATATAACTGGCTCTAAAATCACCAAAAACAATCGGAATTCGCTGCAAATTCACATGGTAATTTCTGAGTGAGCTATGTTACAAAATGTATGTTGAATCATGAATTCTGAAAACATCTGAGCGGAGAAATTTCAGAGTAAAATTCAATGGTCGCTGTGGTCTGTCTTCCCCACATAAAAATCCTCAGCGCGAAGCGACTGCGGAGCTTCCGGCTTATATAGGAAGAATAGATTCTAAACATTTATGGCTGAAAAAATCGGGAGCCGTTCTCCCTATCAAGCTTTGAAAAAGTTCAAAAGTTTCAGAAAAGCAATTTTTCAAATTCTCAGAAAAGTCGAAAAAATGGGTACTTTCAAAATTTTTTCAAATATCTCCCGCAAAAAATTCTTTTTCAATTCCGCCTAACAAGGGAATGGTCAGAAGTCGAAGTGGCCAAACCAAACAAGCTGTATACCATTCGATGCAGTATAAAACGTTGACTTCGAATCTGTCTTTCTTAACTGCTTCCCGCTTCTGTGGACGAAGCTACAAGCCATTAAAGACCATTATTTTGCTAAGAAATTACGCGTGAAATTGAAAATTTAGCCGTGCAGAGCCACGTTCGCCTCACCGCTGGGCCAAAACATGGAGCTAGCCTACTTCAAATCTTTAAAGAAAGAAGCTGAGCTAAAAATGCAACAGTGTGCTCAATTTCGCTGTTTTTATATGTGATTTTTTCACAATAAAACCGCTTGTAGCTTCGTCCACAGAAGCGGGAAGCAGATGAGAAAGACAGACTCGAAGTCAGCGTTTTATACTGCATCGAATGGTATACAGCTTGTTTGGTTTGGCCACTTCGACTTCTGACCATTCCCTTGTAAGCACTGCTGCACTACCGACCATACGCTACACAGTGAGTTATATTTGCGCTACCTTACTATGATAGTATGTTATGGTTTCTCAAAGTGAAGGTTTTTCGAAAAAATTCTTGGCAGAATTCGGGCTATTAGATTTTTCTCAGTGAAGCTACAACAACACAATAACGCATACTGAGTTGGAAAAGGTTTGCTGATTACAACAATTCTTGTTGTACACGAAAAGACTATTCGTGTAAAAAGTTATAATGATCCAAACACAAAATTCAGAAAACCTGCATTAATTTTGTTACAACCTAATATACTGTGATATTAGTGGATTTTCAGCCTTTAAGAAGAGTAAGTCTTCGGGAAAAGCATGGGGATACAGAATTGTATGTATATTTCAATAGAAATTTATATGCGTAAATGAGTAGATTTGCAGTATTTCTTTGGGAGGGGGGGGGGGGAGTTATTTTCCGATTTTTGAGCAACAATTTTTTGTTTTTGAGGTCTTCGTGTGGATGGAACTTGATGTAAATATCTAAACACGCCTTGTAGAGGCTACTTTGCTCTAAGGGATGGTATCTTGGAATCTAATTAGAATACAGATATGACTTATTGTAGTATGAAACTTGGTGCAAACTTGTGGACCAACTTATAAATAGCTGTGGGCATAGCTACATTAGTAACAGTATTCACCCATTTGTATGGTTCTGAAGATTTCCCGTCAGTAGTTCCTTTTGCGACTCAAAGAGTTCTGAATCGACGTACGGAGGCGCTCAGTAGATATTAAAGACACCGTCCACCCAAAATTCCGACTTCCATGTTTTTGCCGTCCCAGGGCCTTCTCATACCCCTGACTCCGAATATCAATTTGAAAATCTGCGAATACCCCGAAACCCCTGTTTTCAGATCCCGCAGAGCAATTTCTTCGGTATAGTGATTGGTTGGGCGCGCACCGATGGGCAGGACGAACTCACGCCCACTCCGAAAGGGGAGAAGCAAGCGTCGCGAACGCGGCCTGAAGCGATTTCCGAAGCAATTTTCTCAATTCGGAAGCAGCTTCAGGCAGCGCGAGTTAGGCAATTATACAGTTGAGGGTCCCGCATCTGCTAGGTATCATAATCTCACCAACCCCAATTTGGGTGGACGGTGCCTTCAAACACAAGGTTGAGACAAGCGTTCCAAACTTTAAAAATCACATAATTGGAAAGGCAATTTCACCGAAAATTAAGTAGTCAAAAACTAACCTCTGCAATTATCTCGTGATGAGCAAGGAGCTCTGCCAGCTCACTATCGAGCTTACAGTCAATCATAAATAAAATTGAACTTTTTGCAGCTTTGAGCAGGTCGACCAGCAAATTTGCTTTGCAGGTGACATCAACGCCGTACAGGATCATTCCTTTTACATGTATATGATTCTGTCGCAGGCTATCAGTTATAGGCTGGATCGTAAAGGAGTCAAGCGCGACCTGAATTTGCCGTCAAACACCTGTTTCAATTACAACGGAAACTATAGTATCTTGTACACTATTTGCATTCTTTACATGTTTTGTTGAACGTGATAACATACTGTATCGAACACGATCTGTTCAATGTAAGCTTGTGCACATGAATCCAAACACTTCGGTAAATCGCTAGGTGTTGATGCGACGAGACATCTCAAAACTCCGTAGGATTTACTGCGCTAAAATTGGAAGTTAAGTACCATTGTCTCTTGAATCTCCATAGAAAGCGTAAACAATCGAGGATGATGAAGTATGTACCTGACCGACAAATATTCTCTTCATTCTTAGCCCGATCGTAGCTCTGTTCTTTTCCACGATGTCATTCATCGCTCGGCAGGCAAGGCGAATGTCGCGAAAATGCCCACGATTCCAAGGCGATACACTCTCATCCTGTGAAAAATTGGCGTAAGTCGGCCAGCACACGTTTTTTCGGTTTTTTTTTGTTTCCAACAACTTTGCTGAGCTGAAGGGTAAGGGTCACAAGCAGAAAATTCCACACCGAGGAAAGCGCAGTCTGACACGTCGATGGCAAGTGCATTTTTTCCTTCGTTTTCCGAGACGAAGCCTTCCACCTACTAGTTGCAAATTTTATGAGGCACCATTCACCCGAAGTAGAAAATATTGAGATATGGTTGCTATGCTACAGTGGGCCTCTACATTAAGCAAATGCCCGAGTTGCTCCATTAAAAGTTGCTTCCGAAATGAAAGCCCTTTAGGCCTAAGGCATAAGGCATAGCTCACATGATTCGACAAAACTGCGACGTCCACTCGACTTGGCGTTCTGCCAGGTTTCATAAATTTGTCGTGGACAATTTTCTAATGCATAGGCTGTAGCTTTTGTGAGTTTTGCAAATGGATCAAGTTCCGTACAAACAAAAGGCGATTACCGACCAATTACGAACAGTCGCTTCTGTGCCGAATCTGCGACGAAAATCGCGTGAGATATGCCCTAGGCCTTAGAAGGAAGGATTCGGAGAGATGTTCGGCGAGGCATGTACTAGTACTAATGAAAAATTGTGCCAGGTTTATTGAATGCGAACGTCGCGTGCGATGGCGTAAGCTGTTTTTGATTTCAAAAACAAATCAGTGCCTGAAAACAACACTAGTATGCTGAAGAAAAGGCTTGTCCAAACCGACATTCGTGTTTGCAACAACTGAAATTATGGAATAGTTTTTTGGGAGAACAATCCACCAGTTTCTACAACTGCAACATTCTAAAGCAATTTCTCGTCCACAATCAGACTTTGCACCACGAATCATAGCAGTGGCGTTTGCCAAAACTTCTTAAAAGACGACAGTAAAACTTTTTGGATGTTAGCTTCATGTCAGCTGTCGCTTCTTTCTATAATGCCCGTGGAGTAGCTAGAAACTAATCGTTTGCTGTTGAAACTAGCTTCGAAACAATGTCGAAAACGAATTCTTTTATTTTTTCGCATCTTGATCAAGATTTTCATGATTCGACGAAACATGGCTGCGGTTGTATTCAGTAATTTCATCCTTAGACTACAAAAAAAAAATTTTTTTTGCATCGTATTGTGGCTTGAAACGTACTCTATTATGCTGCCTTTTTTTCTGAGTAAAAATTTCCATGAAAAAAAAACGACTTGATAACGACCTGCCTGCCATGATAGGTACATTTGCCAAAAATTTGAGGACTTGCGTACGTCGATTAAGGCTATTTCAAAATGTGATTGTTATGCTGTATTTGATAATATTGACAAATGCACGTATAAAACTGTTTGTCTTTTTGTGCTTCCCTTTCCATCAAAAAATGCCAGCTATTTTACGCATACTACACTCTCCTTCAAATCAGCTGACTCTTGAGATATTTGCAATAATATATATATGCTTTAACAAGTTCTGAATGTGTAGTATGCTCCTTTGAGGTAAAAATTACTCTATCCTAATCACTGGAAGAGTAATCCGGATCTTTAAAGTGACGAACAATAACACAAACCTGCCGCAAAAGTTTCAGAATGCGGACGCAGAGTTCCAACGGAAGTTCGAAGAAAGGAAAGTTCGAATTATCTTGACTGTTTTCGGAACATTGTGATGACTTTTCAATCTCTGTGGTGTTTCTGAGTTCTTGAGTTGGGCTTCTCATGACATATCTGAAGATACATTGTCATAGCTTATAGTAATGTAACACTCCGTTCGCGTATTCTTGTGTACGCAACGATGAAAGCATTTTTCCATACGAATCATAGGATGAAAAAAAATTATGGTCTTTTTTTGCTTATTTATACTATCTGCACATTTGCTTGCTAATTCAGAAACAAGCAAGATTTGATCTCACACAAATTCTTGAAGACGAGTCCACATCGCTTCTAGGGCAACCAGCCGCCACCGTCTACAGCTCAGACAATCACAAATGACTTCCGGGAGAAACTGAAGTTCCAAAACTTCCGAGGGGACACTCTTATTGGAGCTGCCAGGCAGCGCCGGGCCAGATAGAGCAGGGCCCACCCCGCACGGCCCAATAGGAGCGTCCGCCCGGGAACTTTTAGAAGTTCAGTTTTTCCCGGAAGTCGATTCCTCAATTGGATGTGATCAAACATATTCGAGGAATAAGTGCAGACTCCCGCGCGGAAGTTCAGATGCTGGTGCACCCAACACTGCAAATGTCGCCATTTTCGTGCAAGTCGTCGCATGGAGCGCGACGACTTTGTCGCGTAAGCTCTGCCCAGGACCCTGAAGCCCTTTTTCGCCATTTTTGCGCTCTCCAGTGTGTGGATTTTTGGATTCAGCATAGCGAAGAGGCCCGGGTAAGCAGAAAATCTCAAAATCGACTTTTTGTCCGGACATTACCTTTAATTGAATTCACACGATAGAGAAACATGTAAGGCTTTAAATTTACTAGCTGTTGGGAACACTTTGATTTTTGCGAACGTCGATTTTTGCCGATTTTTCGGTCGATTTTCTGTTAGTAGAAAAGGCATCCAGAAAACAGATAAAGGAAAAATAACAATCGAAAAAACTTGGATCTTCTGAAGGAAGCATGCGGAATCAAACAATAGGTCTTCTCAAGCCCCGAAACGAACAAATGTTCGAAAATCTAAGAAGTCGAATTGCAATTAGGGCGGAAGGCAAAGAGGATTGCAAGTATAAAACTTTAGAAAAAAGGATCAGAATATGTCCAGCCTGTCAATTTAGAAACTCAGGAATAGTCGAAAGTTGATTAACATTTCTACTTTCACTCGTGCCTCATAGAGTTCTCATAAAAACACGCCTAAAAATCTGAATTTTTATTGGAATGGAAGAGCGAAAACAAATATTGAACTTGCGCCGTGAGAGCCGCCTAGCCGTGAGAGACGCCAGACCTGCAGAATTGGACGAGTTGTTTGCCGTACACCTTCGTACACTTTTGAACGCATCACGCCGGAGAGTCCTGGCATTTTGCCAGAATCAGAGATCGGGGAAAACCTGATGAGAAATTATCATATTAGCTTACAATACTAGTGAACAGTTAAGTTAGTTTTGAACAGTTTCGAGTTACGATTCTTTATATATTAAGTCTTTGTTTTCGATTCAAATTTTCGTTTGTTTCTCTCATTTACTCGTTAGTTTGATGTTCTTATCATTTTTGATTTATTTTAATTCATTCTTTTATCCCAATCTTTAGTCCTTTCATCAATCACGCTCATTCTCTCAACTTCCGTGTTATATTCGCCGTATGTTACAATACCATTATTTTGATGTTCTGGCAGGTTAATAATTATTTGTTGCAGGTGATCGCAATATGGATGCCCCCATCCTTTTGAACGATGTTTTCAGAAGTAAAAGGTAGATTGATATATTAGGTTGGCGCGAAAGTTCTGTCGCACCATTTTCAAAAATTCATAACTTCTGATTTTTCTAACCGATTTGACTGCTTTTATTTTTTTGCGAAAGAATAAGTCATGCTCTTTATAATGAAACCTTAGCTGCTTGCAAATGATCATCTGTTGTATAGATAGGTGCGATAGAAGAAAATTGGTCAAAATTTGAATTTTCTGTGTAGGGTCATAAAAAATCGGAAACTTGCAACAAAAATCGGAGCAGTCGGTATTGTAGGTTCCTTCACCAGCTCTTTCTAACTGTGCAAAGTTTGCGCCGATTGAGCGTCTCTATTAAAAGTTATGATTTTCGAGCAAGCAATACAAAAGGACAAATTTGATTTATTTTAACATTTCTCAGTGTAATAAATACAAATTATCTTTTATTATTCATTAGTCATAAGATAGATATAACCTCTGCCACTGCTTGTTATCACGTCCTTGACGAAACATGAACCATTCAGTGTGAAGGAAAAGATATCGTAGTTTTCCACTACCTCTGATGTGTTAGTTTTTTAAAACTGCATTAGAATCTCGAGCAGTACTCAAGAACTGCGTGCTCAACGAACGCTCACATTAAACGTAGCTAGCTAACAGCAATCTGGTATGATCTGAGTAGGTTACCCGCACGCGACTCAAATCCAATCTGCGTAATTAGCGAAGGTGGTTCATGGCAATGTGGGTGAACCTAGTCCTATCGCGAGTTCAGGTGGGTTTGAATACAAGCCAAAGCTCATTGTATCAGAGGTTCCTAGCCTAGCTAGTCGAATCTTCCTGCTCTATATTAGCAAGAAGTATTTCACAAGGACAATCGTACTATGTTCTTACTTGTCTTAGTTATAGATTCTAGTACCACCGCGTACATATGCCCCGTATGCTCTGTAGACAAACTGAGTTGTATAAGAGCCTTTTCAATGCACGTGGCTATGACAAGCAATAAATCGAAAAAAACAAGTTGAAGAGGAGGTCAGCGGAGGTGCTGACAGCTGCAAAACCTATTCACGCCTGTGACAACTGTGCATCAATATTCACTAATATTCGTGCGATGCGAGACCATCAAAGGGCAAAGCATGCCGAATCCTACATTCTACTCACTACCACAAATGTGTTCCGCAGAAGTCAATGTGAGTGATATTAGATTTAAGCTGTGGTTTTACGTAGATTCTCGAAACATTGCACAAATAGAATCACCTATCAGAGCCGGCAGTACATTCACATTTGAGCCATGCTAAAGACGATAACGATTATGCTGTCGAAAACATCACTTTTGATAGCGTTCAAGAATACAAGGTTTGAAATTTGGTGCAACGTGCACAAAATTTCCGTCCCCATTCCGACTGTCATTTTGAGGAATGGAAGACTCTGTTGGTGCCATCGTGCACTCAGTAAGCCTAATAATTCCAGCAGAGACGAAAAAAGTTGTATCCTACTATACAGCTTACAAGAAAGTAAGCTACACTGATCATTCGTTCTCTTTGTAGCAAAATTCAATACATTATAGATAACAGAAGACGGTGGAAAGGTAAATGTTGAACATTGCTTTACACACTGCGATCACAAAGCACAGCCAGCACTGAGACTAGATACAAATTCACAAAATCACATCATCTCCCTACTGACGGAGGGCCACTCAAACAGGTACACAAAAAGCTGAAGGAGAAAGTGCGAGATGGACTCAAGATTGCAAGCAAATGCCGGGTCTAGCCTGGCAGATTTCACAATTTGGACACGAGCTCAGTTCAGATGAGAGTTGACAGAGACTGTGAGTCTGACGGCATCCAGTTTTACCAGCCTGCACAGAACACTAATGGAGACGGATTTCATCTTGGTACCAACTTACACCTTGATTGTGTAACACCTGTAACTGCCATCATTTCTAGTAATAATCACGCCGACGCAAAAGGGCTGGCTCAGGAAGTATGGCCGGAGAGCAGTGTGCGTCGATGACACTTTCAATTTAAGATGCTACTCTCTAAGGCTGGCGATAATAGTCGTAGCCGATGAGTGGGGCAAGCTCTGCCTGCGGCATACCTCCTGTCATATAGGTCTGTTAGCTCATGTGAATCATCCTGAAATACTTAAAGCTTTCCAGAATGACGGAGGTGGAGAATGGAATTATGTTCGAGTAAATCAAGAAACACCTCCCGTTCTTTCATACTTTTTTTTCATGACAGACGATACAAACACGTTCTGGAATGGCTTCGCTAGGGTGTTTCCAACTGCATGGATCAAAAGACTTCTGTGCTTATGGTACGTCAAACAAGCGATCAAAAGGAACGCACACTAGCTGATGAGTGTGCGTTAGTGAAGATTCTTAATCTATGAACTAACTGGTTTTATATAGAATGACCTGCTGGAGCCGTATATGCACAAGATCCTTGAAATCTGCCTCATCCCCGACAGGGCCTTGTTTGTAAATAAGTACTCACCGCTACTCTGCGTGATCAGGGTGAAGAACGTCTTGCGGCATATATGGAGAACTTTTGATTCGACTATAACTGTTAGAATTGAATGTGTCATGTTCATAGTCATAATGCAGGAGTGACAGGGTTGAGCAGTGAGCAGCCTTTGGTCGCCTACACTCCTGTGTCAGCACCTCCATGCTCTGTGAGAGATTCCACAAGAAACTGAAACACGATATATTAGAAGGGAAGACAAAGATGGGTAGCCTTATCCAGTTACTTATTGGATTAACGGTTGAAACTGAAGAAGAGAGGGAAATTATGGTAACATAACAATTTTCCTTCTTGTTCATTGCCTCAACCATGGTTTCCCAGCAGAAGGAAAGAGGTGTCAAGAAGGAAGGTACAGACTACAGCTCACAAGGACCATAAACCTGCTCTGGATAAGTGCAGCAACAAGCGGGAATGCGTTGTTGTCAAGGAGCCAGGACAATGGCAAATCAGTGAAAACGATAAGCATTACGAGATCCAGAAGCACTACTGCCCTGCAGTCAAGGGGTACACTAAAGCATCTGATCTGCCCTATCAACTGTCTCTAATTTATCTATATTAGCGAAACAACCATTTCGAAGAGGATGCAGAGCCTGTCCATTCGCATTTGCTTGTAACTGTTCGGACACCAAGAGCGGCATCACTTGTATCCAGCAGAAGGAAAGAGGTGTCGGCATCACAATCTACATGCCTTTGATGTTCGCATCTGATGGTAATTTTGAACAAGGACGGCTGCAAGTCCTTTCATTGAACAATTTGTCAGTTCAAGCCGACGAATGTTTGAAGTCAGTGGAAAAATGGTGGTAGCCGCCCCGGGAAAACAACTATACATCGTCCCTGAAGACGAG